TGGTCACTGGGATTCTGAGGTGCACATGCGCGCCAACCAGCTGGTCACTGGGATTCTGAGGTGCACATGCGCGCCAACCAGCTGGTCGTCGGGATTCTGGTGCTTTGGCGCGTGTATGCGCCTTCCAGTTTGGACACTCTGTGCCTAAAAGGTTCACCATCACTGCTTTATAAGAATCCTTATAAAGTAGCTTCTATATACAGCTTTGTGCACAAACATTTACAAAGTTAACCCTTCAACTTTAAATTTACACTAAAGTACCATGAGTTACATACATCCCATCAAATGGAAATGGGGGGAAAAAAAGACATGTTTCAATATTCAGTTAACAGTTATTTTCAGTAACAGATGGTAGATGTAATATTTGGGATAACTTCAATTAAGTTACATCTTATTTTATTCCGGTTTCTGGTATAATATATAGTCAAGTCTCCTTGTTTAATATATACGTACAATCATGTTTGTCCACTTTCTGGGATTTGGCAATTGTTTCCAATGTTGTCTATGATGGGACAGTAATGTTATTACTGGCTTGGGCCCAATCAGGAAATATGTCCAGTTGGAAGAGTCTAATTCCCCAAGTATTTATGGCCAATGTAACAATCACTAGTCCAATGATATTAACACCAAAGCCAGCTTTGATCTGCAAATAAAAAGAAAAACCACAATAATGAATATCAATCTGAATAAGGGCTTACAGTTCAAACACACCAGGTCTGGGTAGGTTCTGACATTTTTTTTTCATAGACCAAATCCCGGGTGCATTTAGATCAGCTACAGTACTTAATTGGATTAAATCATTTCCTTCTGTTTCCAGATGTCTCCTCATGTTCACTTTGCCAAACTACAGCCAACAAGGCACTAACTGGGTTGAAATAACTCTATAGTTAGAGTTATAACTAGCTCTATCTCTGATCTATCTATGTCAGTTTTTCTCAACCTTGCCATTTTGAAGATGGAGGGACACACAAACTCTTAAACTTGTCAAGGTTGAGAAACACTAATCTATATTTTCTGTCTGAGATTTCCTTAATTCGAACCAAGACTTTTCCTTAACTATTTTTGCCTTTTGTAGCATTTTTGACACCATTCGTTGAGAGTTGGGGATGGTAGTGGCAATAATAGTGGTGGTGGAAACCATAATTTCAAAGCTATCATAAATGTAATTTGTACACTTACAAATAATATAAATCTATTATTACTGCATCACAACATTTGTTGCACTGCTTCATTGTTTTTGAAATGTTCTTGGTTTAGTTGTGGGTACTTAGTACATACCATATCTTTGATTTGACAGTGCCCATAAGTGAAGACAATGGCATTTGGAGGGTTGCCCACTGGTAGCATTACCGCAAAAGAGATGCACATAGTGACAGGGATCAGGGTGTACAGTGGGTTGATTTGGAGGCTTTCGGACTATAAAGAGAAAGAGGAAGACTAATTCTTTTGGTCATATGCATAATAAAACTGGAAAAACAATATTATTACATCTAGGGCCATTGCTTAGTATTAGACTAACGCACAGGTTATCTAGATTCACATTTTTCTTTCAACCATAGAGGTACAGTGCAAGTTATTGGAGAAATAAATAAATAACAATTAAGCTCAGAGAGCACCAAGGACCTTTCATTTCAACTCTGAACTACAAATATTCTCTATTGCAGAGGTGGGTTGCTCCCGGTTTCACCCGGATCGGGCGAACCGGTAGTAGTGGTGGTGGGAGGCTCTGCCCACCTGCCCGGACACTTCTGCGCATGTGCAAAAAATGTAGCACATGCACGCAAGTGCGTGGGGGAGCGTGCCCAAACAGGTGGTAAAAGAATTGGGAGCCCACCACTGTTCTAATGATATGACTTTCAGATGTCTATGTATCTTGTGACTAGTCCATGTAGAAAAGGAAAACTGCCCTCTCTAGCTCTAAATGTGCCCCTTATCTTAAATGATTGCCTAACCCTGTTTTAACAAATCCTAATCTGTACTCACCATACCACATAGAATTGGGAGGAAGATTGTTATGGTTGCAGGATTGCTAACAAACTCCGTTACTACGGACACCAGGAGGCAGGCCAGGAGACTGACTGCCCAGGATGGAAGGCTACTCAGGGACAACATTTGCCTCCCAATCCACATCGAAAGTCCAGAGGTCTGAGGGGCAAAGAAAAGGAAAAACAAACAGATTGTAGTTCTTGCAGTAGCTGTTCCAAGCATTAACCCCCAGTTCTGAAGGAATAAAAAAAG